AAGAAAAAAAAAAAAAGTTTCATTGAACCGAAGAAATATTTTGTTCATACACCGAGTAATTATTTGAGTGATACAATTATTTTTTGAATTTTCAAAATCCTTGTTCCGATGTATCTTTCTTTTTCTCAGGGCATATGTCTGCATAAAATGGCTTGAAAAAAGGAAATAAAAATTAATCCAATATTTTGAAAAATGTACACTTCGAAAATAATCATACTCTCGGGAGAATATTTAATTTTCATATTAAACGAATATTTTTCCATGCATAGTTCTCTGTTTTACGGAAACTGTCTTGGAGAAAATCTGAAACGAAAATAGTTTCGTCTTCGGGGTCTCCTCGGGGACGTCTGGGTTCGCGACGACGAGGGATGGCTCTTTCACAGGGGTTGGTCGGTTTTCGTCGCGAGAATGCATTATTTATGCCCCAAGATCCCATACGCGAGCGGAGCCGCGAAACGGCGATATATCTTCCAGGGGTGCTCTCCCTCGGCCTTCTTCATGGTCGACGCTACTTTCCTGGCCCCCCATAAGAGTTATACAAGGTATTAGCGCGGAACAGATGTAGCGGTCCCGATCGTCCGTAGGCGTTCACCCTTGCTGACAATTTGTCACGTGCGCACCCCCGACGCACCCCTAAAGGCGGCGATAAGCTCGCGTTTGATAAATCATGCGATAGATACGGGCCATTATCGATGAGCGGGAATCATTTGGAAAGGGCTTTAAGGGATGGAAGGAGCTACGAGATCCAAGATAAATTTCGAGAATTTTCAGGACTGACCGGTTAAGCCTGAAAACATCGAAAAATTCGAGGAGCCTACAATTCCAGGGAATTCCATTTTACAATGATGTATACGTCAATAAGAATAAAACAAGACATAATTACAGTGCAGCCTTCGTGAACTGCAGCCGTGACGCCGGGAGATGCCGTCGGGAGATACAGACGGCGAGATCGCGTGACCGGGTACACCTGGAATTAAATGCCCGAAATGCCAAGGGGTACCTGGCCTCTTCAGGTACGAATTCGCGGGGGGCGCCTCGAAGCGCGGACTCGTCAGCCGGGGTGACTTCCTCGGGCATGGGGTTGGTTGGCATGGAGACGCACCCTTGATAGTTATTTATTCACGCGATTCGCCTCTGGCCCCGGAACACCACAGGAGGGTGGAGTTCTTTTTCTTGCAATAATTACCACGTGTTCCTGGTCCCGGTGCCGATGAATGGCGGAGTTAAACGGAGGCCTAAAAGCCCTGACCATCACCATGAAAACCATGAACATGGTCTTATAAAGGAATAAAACTTGGAAAGTGAATTAACGATTATGAAAAGAAATTAAATCCTTGGTAAATATCCTGGGAAATATTTTTTAACAATTACGGGACATAAAGGGGTGACGTCCCCCTCGCCCTCCGAAGGAGAGGCCAACGAGGCGTCAAATCTTATCTCGTGGTTACGATCCCTGGTCCAGTGGACCCGATTAGGTTTCTCGCCTCTCGCCCTCCGGGTTTAGGTCCAGCCCTTCTTCGGAGATTGGCCGAGCGCGATTAAAGGGCGGAAGGGCTTCGACCCCCCGCGAAGATTCGAAGTGACAGGTACAGGGAATCCCCGGGAACAGCTGACGAGGCGAGAGTCCATCGGAACACTTTGTCCTGAAGAGTAGGGGGGTAAAAATCCACATCGAACCTTAACCATTGCCCTTTATTAAATTAAATTATATTATATTAAGGTTAGGAAAAAATGATCTCCTTTCAGCGACTTTAGACTTGACATGGCGACTTCTTCAAGGTGCGAAACGCCCTCGAAGAGGGTTTAACGAGCCGCAAAATCGAATCGCCGTGTTCCACGGTTACGATCTCTGGTCCAGTGGACCCGATTAGGATTCTCGTCCCTCCCTCTTCAGGGTCTCTCTTCGTTCGGACCCTTCCCTTCTTTCCTCCTTCGATTGGCGGGGCGCGATTAAAGTCCGATAGGTCTTCCCGGAAAGTCGTAACTCCTCAGGGTTATACCGATACGTGAAGAGATTTTCAACGGGCGAATTCTCTCGCTCTCTTCAGCTTCGCGGGATTAATCCCCGAGGGACTTCTCGATTCGGGTCGAAAATTCGAGGCGACAGCTCCAAGGATTCGGAGGGTGCGAAGAAACTCCCCCGTAGGAAGACCCGCGTGAATTCTGTCAAGGCCAGGACGGACCTCGGATATTCGGGGTGCCTCTTCAGGGTCGGCCTGCACTCGGAAAAAACATCGATTGTGCCACCCCGAAGGAGCAAAAGGGGAAGCCGATGTTGTCGCCGAGCGATGAGGCGAATAATCGGATTAAGGATTACGAGGCCTCTTCGCCCCACGCCGCAACATCAGGTGCGATCCTGCCAGGATATGCGTCGATTTCAGGTTATCGAGATCGATAACCCCACGTAACGCGATTTCTATGAACCCCACGTGTAGGGTCAGCGAAAATGGATCCCGGAACACCTTTAACGAGGAAACGTTAATACGAGTACCCACATTAAGCCACCCGCTCGTTAGCCCACCCTAGAAAGTCCTTGAGACTTCCTAAAAACAAAAAGAAATATAAAAAAAAAAATAGGTAATATAAATTTGTAAAAAATTGTAAACGCGTCTTCGGGGTGTTAACGAGCTTCATTAAAAGGTGGATTATGCTAAGCCTTCGCGGAGCCTGAAGAGAATTACAATGAAAGTATATGTACTTATGAAATTTGAAAAAAAAAATTGTGAAGGTGTCTTTAAGGTTTTAGCGAGGTCCTTTAAGCGTATTGCAAGCAGGACATCGTAAGCGACAATTATTGGCTTGTCAAGGCAGAGTCAACTTGGGCTTATAAGAAGGGGTGCCGAGGGGTGGCTCGGTCGTCAGGGGCGGTTTTGGGGACACCCGTTATACGAGGACGCACCCCCAAAGTATTGGTTCCCCTTGCCATTCCCCATGCTTCCCTACCCTCTTTGGCGCGCCCTAATATAAATATTATTACACTTTGATGGGGTTAGGTTGATACCGGTCCTATGGAGTGTCGCGCCTTTACTTTTTCATTAGGGAAGAATTCCACGCGCCACGTGACGCGTACCTGGGGCTTTAAATTTAAGCACGCGTGTTTCTTTGTCTTGCTTTGTCTCGCTTTGCCTCTCTTTGTCTTGCTCGGTCTCGCTTTATCTTGCTTTGTCATATTTTATGCTGCGTTATCATTTCTACCCATCCTTTGCAAAGTGCATTTCGTCCCTTTCATCCCCATATGTGTGCATCTCGAGTGTGGACATCGATCCCATAGATCATCTAACCCTCGATTCGAGTTCGCGTGTGCACTTGGCACTCGCGTGTGCAATCTCGGAGTGCATCGAAAACTGCAGAAATAATGCACAGGGATTATGCAGAAAATGCACCACTTCTACCTCGGCCATGGTCGACCCGATCAGCTGATAACGTGAAGGGTCTCAAAATTCGCGGTTTTTCGACTCGGCCGTTATCTTAAAAATCAAGAAAAATTGCAACATGCACGTTATCGATACATCAGAATTGATCTATCGTCCCGAGACTACGATAAGGTGTGGAGGAATCATCTCGTGGTTCGCCGGGTCATTGGAGTCAGATGGTAGACTTTTATTATAACATTTCGTTATAAAAATATCTCTAGTAATTCGTTCCGCGGTGACGAGTGACGTAATGAGGAAATAAAACATAATAAAAAGGAGAGTATGATCGACAGCTGTCAATTTCGGGGGTGAATTATCAGGTGGTTTGTGAATGACGTTTGAAAAGCGACACGAGAGAAATTCTTCGGTAACAATGATATTTTTAATAATCGGTTCAACAACGTTACAATGCCCTAGGTTCAATCACATACGCATTACTCGGTACTTGGTATTCCTGAATATACATACATACATGTGCATACCTGTCCGATAGTGCTTCACCTTATCGGTGTGCCGACTGCGTGTCCCATGCGCGCGTGGGTATGTGCGAGTCAATTGACACCTGTCAATCCATGCCTGCCAAAAGAACCTCGACATATGACTTTTCCGCGTAATTGCTATAGACACCAACGTAACTTTAACGGCGATACGATATGCGTTACGGGGGTAATTTCGTCGTCGACACCCTGAAGAAGGTCGCCGAAGAAAGGACCCCCCGCGATGCCTCCTGATGAGGGGAGCGAGTGATAACGCAAAACTCGCAAAGATATGCCTGCGACACGATAGGCGAATCCCTCCCCAAAGAGAGTGAGAGAGAGAGCACTACTTATTATTCCACTTCCGGCCACTCTCCTAATGTTACATCGTCCACTTTTATTTACAAGATACAGGAGATGCTACGGAACGTACCGATATGTACTACTCGCGTGTACTTATGCTGGAATTTATATCGATATTTATATAATGTACCTTTTGTATATCTGTATATATACACATATATGTCTATATATATATATGTGTATATATCGTAGATTATACGTCGGAGCGTACCTTGACGTGCGAGGACGAGTGCGACAGGTGTGTATGTATATTATTTATATATATATATTTATAGATATTTATATATGTATACCGTCTCGCAGTTTCACTACAGTACGTCGCCAGCAAGGATGGGCGCTTAATCGATCAGTCAATTAATCGAAGATAGCGTGACAGAAGCGACGTGGAAGATACATTTCCCTACACCCTCGCACACAATCGCCTAGGAAGGATACGCTTTGCCCGTCTTATCAGCTCGCGATGTCGTGTCCTTTATTAATCGACTAATTAATTTCCCAGCCCCTTATCAACCCTGTCGATGCGCCCTCGGATAATCGAAAGCTTTTCATAATTAAATGGTCATTCTTATGATCGACGAGAATTTATCATAATTAAATGATAGCTCTTACCATTGTTTCATGGTAAAATGTTATCATGAAGAATGACAATTTTTAGGATCACTCGATGACCGAACAGTTATCATAAATGATCATTCTTGCGAGTATTCGACGACGCTCGACGGATCGCCGTCCCGCGGAAATCCTCGCGTTTCCCGAAAAATTTCCGCGTTTACCTGACCGCGGAATTTTCCCGCAGAGATTCCGCGGCGATTTCCGCGCTCGCAGAGGCCAGCTCGATAGAAAAGAGACGCGCAAACTCGCGGTTCCTTTATTATTCCCATTTTCTATTTCCGGAAATGCCGAGTTCCCTCGTCTTCCGCACCAGCGGGACGAGCCCGGAATTCTTTGGGTGTTATCAGCGGGAAAGTCATAGAATGATAATTCGAAGACTCGGGTTCAGTCGCTCCGGGCTCGAAGTCGAGAAATTCTCGGGTGTTTCCAGGACTTCCTTCATTTTGCCACAATTTTTTCCACCAACCTTCCATCGCCCTCTCGCGAACTGGTCTTGATATGGCAGATATCGTTCGCGATAATGCGCGGAATGTGCATCGGGTGCATCAGGAATGGCCAAGTACGCAAAGAACGACCGGAAGTTGGTGAAAACAAATTCGGAAATGATTTATTTTCTATCCTTTGGAGCTGATAACAAATTAATCCTTCTTAGTCTATCTAATTATTCTTTCCTTCTAGCCGAGTCACTCGGAGTAACAGTCGCACCAAATGTAACAACATTTAACAAGGTCACGCTTCAGCCTTCATCGTATCATCATCAACGATTATGATTAATCGGAACGGAACACGTCTTCGTTGGAATTAATCCGAAAGAGGTTCAGCTAAAGTATGAAAAAAAAAAAAGAGTAGATAAATAAATAAATAAATCCCACCGCACAAGGATGTGTGAAGTCGTCCGTATCAGTGAACACCCCTTGAAGCGTTATCCAAGCATAATCAGTCACACAATTATCAGGCAACGAAACCAAGATACACGAGAGACTCTTAGATAATTGATAAGGTAAGAAATCATCTAAACTCATAATTTCAACTAATTATCTAAACTCATCATTTAAACTCTCACTGGACTCGCGAAATCACGTGGTCTCATTTGCATAGATCGCGAGGATAATATCTCTTATCACTCGTCAGCTGCTCTAGATATGCACAAAGCACTACGAATCCCCCCTCTCGTTCCATCTCTCTCGCTCTCTACAAGGAACCGCGAAGCTACCCCGAAATTCGCGGTGCTCTAGTTAGAAAAGGAGGAGCCATAAAAATACAGATATGTATACTTCCGGCTGGTACGAGCGACGCGACGTGACCTCCCTCCACTGATAACCGTGATAACAGGGAATCGACCATATCACGAGGTTTAGATGGACCATCCATCAGCGGGAAATCCACCCTCGAGTTTCGCGTCTCTTAATTTTTCGTTGTTCGGCCGAAATCTCGCGGATTGTTGATAACGTCCCGAAATTCCGCGTTATCAGTCGCCCCTTCGACGTCATCGCCGCGCCCTTTTGAGTCTACCTTAGTTCCCTAAATGTTAACGTCTTATCGCCTAAGTTTTGCGGACCCCGCAGTCAGCGGGGCCCTGATATGTTATCTTGGTTCAGCAACGAATCGAGTGAACTTAAAAAAAAAAATATTGATAACCGAGATAAGTATTGCACGCGTGCCATGCAACGGGAGTCCCTTGCTGATCGGGATCCGTTGCTTCGGCAACTCGTTACTCTCTTCTTGGAAGTCTTCAGGACACAATCCTGAAGATAACACCCCCTGTCGAGTGGATTGCTCCAACCTTGTTATCATTCCATTTCCTGTTATCCCCCGAGATTACCTACTAATTAATTCGATACGAAGTTGCGAATTTTTCCCTCTTTAAACTAACATTTTTTTTTATATATACAAATAGACATGTTATTTTATTTTTTTTTTTTTTTATATAAGTTCCTAATCGAACATGTTGCGGATTTTCTGGAACCGGACAAGAAATTAAATAAAAATCCGCAACTTCATACCGGATCATCCAGGTGCGCTTCGCCTCGATCTTGAAGTTTGAGTTTGATTCGAGTGACTTCAAGGACTGACGACCTCTTCGTCATTTGATTTTCGTCAACATCAGGAAGGTACATCGTTTTAATCCCGAAGCGACCTAATTGTCCTAGACGAACACCCGTAAGAGAAGGAGAACGAGTCTACTACGAAAGAAGAACACGTCCAGGTCGCACCTGCGCGATGCAGAAGAGCATCCTGAAAGCGAAGATGTCGCCCTCGAAGAGCCTTTCGATACACGTATCGCTATCACCCTTTCGATTTCTAATCAGTTCGTCAATGAAGTCCTCGAATGACTCTACGAATATCCATCAGGTATCGATCACTTCCCCCGGATCCACCCAGAAGACCCAGCAGGTGGAAAACGCGACCATGGTCGACGATCTCGAAGAAGCGATCACCAGGAAGAGTAATGACGGCGGATAATCAAGGATTAGATAAGAATTCGCAAATCCAGTCGATAAGGAGCACAGATACCGCGTCCTGACCTCGCACCTCCAGGGACCCAGGAACCAGCGATCAATGGAATATTGGAAGCCAGGTGGTAGAGTCCTGGGCCGCATGGTCGAAATCAAGGTCCAGGATTCGACAAAGGACCTCTTAGTACATTCCTTGCCGGAAGGGGTTGCTGTCTCCCGCAGGATGTTCAGGTTCCGGGGCTTTCCTGAAAGGATTGGCATCCTGAGTTGGTGGTGGCCTGGAGTCCCGAGGGTCCTGGCCATAGGCCTGTCTTTGAGCGAATCCTTGCTGGTCGTATCCACCCTGGTCGTAGCCTCCCTCGTAGGTGGCCGTCCTGTTATACCCCTGGTCGTAGCCAGGAGCTTGGGCGTATCCTTGATCGTACGTCGGCTGCTGGGTATACCCTCCCTGCATCTGGTACCCTTTGTCCTGATCCTGGTCCACGTTGGTCTCAATCCTGGCCTGGGTGAGATGATTCCCCACCTCGCCGACGATGGGCCTCTGCTCCTGCAGGGCGTATGTCTGGTACTCTCTATCCGGAGGGTCCTGCATGAGCACGTTGGCCTCGTCCTGGAAGGGCTTGAAGTCGTAGATGTTCTTCAGGTAGTACAAGACGGGCACGTAGAGTAAATTGGAGAAGGCGATGCCGAAATTGAGGGCGGTGAAGCCGATGGCCTCGACGACTCCACCGGCGATGATGGGACCCACGGCGTAGGCGACGCTGTAGGAGATGTCGGCAATGGCATAGACGCTGCCGTAGACGGAGACGTACCTGACGTCCACTAGATAGCCCAGGGTGGGTAGAAGAGCGGTGTCGATCAACGCGATGCCGAAGCAGATCCCGCAGATGGGGATCATCAGCGCCTTGTAGGTGGAGGAGAAGGGGATGATGAAGCAACAGAGACCCTCTAGAGCCAACCCACTGGCGGCCATCAGCCACTGGTGCTGGGGGTACTGCTTGGCCATCTTGACCGTGATGGCGACGCCGAACACATGGGGGAAGAAAGCTGGCAGCCATATCATGCCGATCTTCCATTTGTCGTGGGTCATGTAGTCCTCCATCCAGAGGGAGATGGTCGGCTCCAGGAAGGCCAGGGCGACGTTGGACATCATCAGTGCCCCGGCGCAGACAGCGATGTAGGGGTCGATGAACAGCTTCCAGATGGGTATCGTGGGGGTGTTGGCGTGGTGGGTGTCCTTCAACTGCTCTTTGATGGGCTTCATCACCAGCAGCAGCATGAAGCCGTCGATCAGGCTGACGAATGCGAGGATCAGAAAGGGCACCTCCTTCCCGGCGAAGTCGTAGAGGGCCCCGCCAAACGGCGGGGCCACCAGGCAGCCGAAACTGATGAAGGCCAGGGCGATCCCCAGGGCCTTGCTTCTCTCGGACTCCTCGGTGAAGCGGTCAGCGATCATGGCCAACCCGGACGTGTCGGCGAAGGCCGACCCCACGCCCTGGAGACTCCTGGCGAAGAAGAGGACCCCGTAACTCCGACCGCAAGCGAAGACCGCCGTGGACAGGAACATGATGCAGAGTCCTATCATCATGGGGATGTCGTAGCCGATCCGGTCGATCAGCGCCCCGGAGAACGGGTTCACCATCAGTTGAACGATGGCCTTGGAGGCGAAGAGCACCCCCGTCGCCGAGTCCTGGCCGTGGTGCGACGGCGGCCCCGTCGAGTTCACTTCCACGGGATCGTCGTCGAAGGCTCCCACGTACTTCAGGTAGTCCGGGATGATGGGCACGATCACCATGTAGAGCATGTTGTCCAGTAGGAGCGCCACGGACACGATGACCAGCACCAGCTTTCGCTGGGCCTTCGGCTCCTGGAGTCTTGCCCACACGATCTCCTTCAGCTCCCTCACCTCCATGTTCAGGATCGGTATCGTTGTCATCCTGGGGGCTAGACTAGGTCCTCGGGTCCAGGAAACACCGGCTAGTAGTGGCAAGGCTTAACCCTGGCGGTCTCGATCATAGGAGGCGACGAGGAGGTCGTGGTGATCGGGACGGCGCGCATCAGGCCGGGCCGGGGGTAACCTACAACAAATTTCGAGTCCGTTAGCTTGACGGTTGTTTATTAAATACTCTCGTATCTTTTCTCTAGATTTTCTCTCATTCCCTCCCGCTTCCTCGAATCTTCGCGATCATCCTCGAGGTTTAAGGAACCCACGGCCCGGCCTGGTCAGCGCAACGCCGAGGGACATGTCCCCGAAGGACGTCACCGTCGAGGGGCCAATCATCGTCCAAGAGCCGCTTATCGCCCTTATCGCGACGTTCTACCTGCACCGTAATTCCTGAAGACTTCCACGCAGACTAACTTAATTGGAAAATCGAGAACACGACCTTGTTACACCCTAAAATACAGTATTTGTGAACTTCCTGACTGGTTTTCCCCCCTGTTCGACATCTCAATTCGAAATGCAATTGATAACGCATCCATACCCCATATATCGGTGTCCTTGTGTTAGGTAATTATCAAGAAAGCCTGGGTTGGTTTTCCTATATCACTGGACCCTTACTTGTTTACTTGGTGCAGAGGATCAGCAGACGCATGGTGCACTAGGTACCACAAAATGGCGGAATCGACGCGTCCAACCGTAGACGAAAAAGACAAATGGAAGACCACGATGGCTGGCTAAACCTCTTGCATTTTCACTACAGATTATTCTTTTAGGTCACTGCCGATACGGTAATCGCGAGGACGTGGGAGAAGGGTTAAACTCTAAACGAGTGCAGTGTCGAAACGTGGAGGCACTTGACTTTACGACTCACCGGAGTTGCTGGCGAACTTTTGCCGCAGGGAGTTGGCGAGGCGTTGGGGACCTGCCAGGGTCGGCAGCCCAGCGAAGAGGCCGCTCAGGGTGGAAGCGACGTCGGGGGCCTCTTCGGCTTCCGCGCCGGTTCCCGACTCCTTGACGAGCGACCCTGGGCCCTCCACTTTTCCAGCCGAGTCCTCTACCGAGCCTGGGGACGGACGAGGTCTTTCAAAATGGCGGCCAACCCTTCGACCGGGATTAAAAACGGGGAAGATGCATCTCCCTCGCAAGAACCCCCCAAAAATCGACCTTGAAATCTAACCACCATCGACATCTCCCAAGCCTATCCACCATGGCCCAATTAACATTAACATTCTCTAAAAAAAAAAGAAAGAAAATATAAAATTCACAGATTTACCCCCGAATTTTAGTTTACAAATCCACAGGGGTTCGAGGGTATGGGTAATCGAGATCAGGGGGTTGCTTGTGAATTTCTTGGTATTTTGTTTTTTTTTAAGGCTTGGGTGGTTAATCGGGGTTATCGCGAGAATGAATTCTTATCGGAAGATGCGATACGGGAGGGTGAGGGGATGCCGATGAGGGGTGTAAAGGAAAGGTTAAAGGTACTCACTTAGACCGAAGGACCTCCCGAAAGCGGAGCACGCGGGCACGGGCGTCTCGGCGTGTCTCCTCTTCGGGGTGGCGTCGGGACGTCTGCCCGCGGGGTCCTCCCCGCCACCGGGTCGGCGGCACCCCTCGCGCCCCTGTGCGCAGGCGCGAGCGAACTACCCCCGGGATTGGCGAGGCGGTCGCGTGGCCGCCGCCCCCGCCCCCGCCAGGGGGGCGGTGGGGGCCCTAGGGTGGCCAGGGGCGACCGGGTGCCGACCAGGTACGAATGCGTCGACGGCGGTCGATGCTGCGCGGTATTTCCGTCCCTAGGTCGATAGCTCACCTGTGTAAAGCCGCCAGGGGTGGCGGGCGGGGTCGCGCCAGTGTTCTTCAACCTGGGGCGAGCACGGCCCAGGGGGTCCGAGAGTCACTGCCGGGTCAGAGGTCACTCGATCGAACCTGGCGGAGGGTACCTGGAAAATCGACGCCCCCCTTCCTGGCCCGAGAGGGTGGCTTTTGCCTTCAGCCCCTGACGCCGGACAGGGGGGGAAATATTTCTACCCGGAGAACGGGACATCACATTTTGCTACTTTGTTTTTTTTAACGGAACTTTCGGGGATGGTTCTACTCGAGTACTAGAAGTGACCCCCCGATTCGGAAATTTATAGGATTTTTTATATTTCTTTTCGCTCTTTACGGTTGATTACGCTCAACCTTAGGTTTTATCTTCATTTGCGGAAGCGTTTACCTCCCTTTTAATTGTTGATAAGTTTAAAATGAGTTGATAGGAAGAGAAAATTCAAGGGTAGCGGTGAGGGATATATGGTAATTCGGTTTAATTTAGGAGCTTCGGTTTTAGGGCGCAATTTTTTGTCTTCTCTGTTTAATTATTATTATTATTTTTTTAGTGTAGGGAAGTTGAGATAGTAGGTACTTTCCAGGGCTCCGAGGCGAGGCAAAGGTGGACTCGTCGATACGACTCCGACTTCCAGGCATCGAACGCTCTCGAGTTCGGGGAGCCGTTTTCCCCTCGGCCGATCGAAAGTTTGCCAGAACTGTTTCTGACGTCGCGACGTAGACCTGTGGAGCAAACCGTGCAATTTGTTCAACGTCAACGCTGACTGATGCACCCCGTCTCTCCTCTGTCCCGCCCCTCGAGCTTTGATATCGAGCCAACTGCGATTGACAACTGGCCCCAATTACCGGCCGCGATCAAGAGCACCTTTATTTACTCTTCTAATGACCACTCGTGACAAATGCAGGTTTTTAATTAAAAGGAAAAGAATAAAATCCCACAGTCATGAAAGTCTAGATGGAGCACCCTACATCCCTAAATACTCGAGGGCAATTATTTAGGTCTCATCATTCCGAATGTCATGTTTTAACAAAATTACTTTAAACATATACGGAGCACCCTTTCACGTAGACAGGATTATTTCCGTATTTCTTTCAGCTCGATCGGGACATTTCTCATCCGATTCAGGATTCCTTGCTGCAACCTCAGCAGAGGAAGTTCCGACAGGAAATCAGGGGATATTGGGTCTCTTTGCTTGCTGGCAGGAACTCGAGGATCCCTTCAGGGTAAATCGCGGATCTATTTATCATTCGCGCGGAATCGCCGCGGGAAAGCCGGCGGAAAAGCTGGAGCATTGTGAAGGACCTTGAAGAGATCTGACGCAACGAGAGAAGAGGGCACCGTTCACCTTTTTCTGGGGGAAGAGATCCGAGTGGTTCTTCGACGAGAGGCTGGGGACTATTTATCATGCCATCCCGAAGAGAAGGATCCAACCTTGTTACCATTCCTGCCAGGTTTGCGTGGACCGTTCCACGGCCTGCTAGGTGAATCCTGGAAACAAAGCCCGAGGTGGTCCAGGGACACAAAGGGACGCTGAGAAACGTAAACTGTTCGGGATCGTCCAGGACCCTGAAGAGAATCTCGATTTCCGGCTCGCTTCTCTTCAGGTGGCGGTTTTCCCACACTAAGGGGTGCGGCATGAAAAATTAACCTCTCGCCGCTCTTCCGGGCCACTTCGTCGGGAGATTCGGCAAGAGGGTGTGCTCGGATGCCGAACTAGGACACCTAGGAAAAGCGACTCGGTTTTATTTATTAATTAACCGCGAAATTAACTCCCGCTGGAAAACTCGAAAACGCAGCAACAGTGGGCTATCTCTAAACGCCCCAAATTGCCGCTTGGAGTTTGTTCGCCCTAAATTTAATCCTGGTTTTAGAGGGTCCTGAATATACAAAATTCGGCCGGAAGTCTGTATTTGAATCCTTCCAAGCTGTCACGTACATTGGCGGATACTTTATTTAATAATTAACCGCGAAACTACCTCGAACTAGATAACCTCAAACAGGAACTACTGTCGGCTGGTTGTCGCTAAACGTCCTGAAACGCCGTTTTGGAGTGTCCTAAATTTAATCCTGGTTTTAGGGGGTCCTGAATAGGGAGGACTGTATTTCGATCCTTATAGTCTGTTATGTACATTGACGTGACATGACGTGAATGCCTTCCTTGTGGATATAATACTGCCGGCTTAAGAGAAAATGCCATTCGCGTCCACTACTGTACAGGATATTTTCGGGTCTCTACTCGATGTAGGGGTAATGGTATCACGACTCGGTTCCTTAACAAATGGGTTGACATTATTTCAGAAAGTGTGGAGGTGGAGAGACAGGCTGAGGGCTATCAAAGCTCCTGAGAACATGCCGAGATGCGCTAGACTGACAGTTCCAGTTCATCCTCGATCGCGCATCGCAGATGAGGTGGGATCGTCAGTCACGATCGCCTCGAGATGATCCTTTAACGTTCGCGATCTTCGAGTAATCGGCGAAAAGGATTGCCAAATCCCCCACGTGGCTTGTCGTCAATCGGTGACGTGAAAGGCCAGGTCCTGGTCTAAGTAGAAATATTCTAATAAGATACGGTGTAGAGATGCTGACGAGACAGGATTGTAGAAATTAGGTAATAAGATGCGATTATAGAAATACAATAATAAGACACGGCTATAGAAATATTTTAACAAAACACGATGCTGGAGGTAATGAAACATGACTGCAGAACACTAATAAGACACAGTTTATAAAAATCGATAAAATACTGTTGTAAAGATATATTGATAAGATATTATTATCTGAATATACTGATAATATCGAATGATAATTGCCAGAAAAATGTCTAAAGCTAAAGCCATTTTTTTTTATTGCAGATAAGGACTTTACATCGAGAAGTTTAACGTAAATTTATTATTTTATCCCCGGCATATCTCTCGAGTCGATATCTCGCGATGGAGGAGGAAAACGAGATCCATTTCGCGAAAGAAGACTCCGTGATCCGCGATGAATACCAAGTGACTCGTAATTCGGTTTTGCGCGATCGACTTGCTCGAAAAGCCGAGGGATCCGTCAAATCTGTCGAAAAACTTTGTTACACGGAAGAAATCAACTTATAGGCGACACCGAAACAAAGCTGATCAATTTTCCCTTCGATTTCTCATCGACAATTTTTCTAAAGAGATTCATTTCTAAAATTTCGTTCATATTCGCGCCGGCATTTTTCTTATCAAAATGGAATGGAGCTATTTAATGAATTCCTGGGCGCGAGTGTATCGTTTAAGGCCTAATTTACGAATTCATATTAAGAGCCCACCCAAATCGGTCTTCTATTGATTAATTAAATTAGACTTACCTCATTTGGCATTCATGTAACTAAATTCACTTCCTTGGTCGAGCCCATTAACGTCAGCCATTTTTTCCCGGATACAATATGACTCGTCCGAGGGTGTCTAAAATAATATCGCATCGGATGATAATTATTAGCAACAATGCTCCTTTGTCCCGGACACCTAACAATCGATTTCGAGAGGGTCGTTAAACTCGTTGTTTAACCTCGTTTGGGGAAAGGAAACGAGCCTGTTCTCCGGCTTGGCTGGTGAAACGGCTGGGGTAACGTTCCGATTTTCTTTTCCTCGAATGTCCGTTTCCCAACGATTTTAACGATTCGGGTTAACCCCGTTGCTCCGAGTGCATTCACTGCTCCATAAATTACGACGAGGAAGGGGAACTAAGGGAATAAATAAATGCAAAAATGAAGCTCGGACGCTTATCGCTTTCACTGCTCCGAAAAGTTAGATCCTGAATTTACATTCGCCATTTTGAAGCGAAGATGTAAGGTATCTTCATGTACCTTATTTTTGCCGAATCTTACCTTCTCGTACCCACATGCGTGCATAATAAACAAGTACGGAAGGCATACCGAGAGACATGGGAACTAGGTAACCGTAAGACTCGAGAAGACTTGGACGCGAGAAGAATACCGTGGGTGCAATAGTGCACCTCCGGTGCATACGAGCGATTTCCTCGTGGCTCAATTAAAAACTGGAACGTGCATCCAGGTCGCGTTCGCCATTTGTAAAAAACGGGAGGAGAGGCTCGATTACACGTGAGAACGGTGACGCCACGTCGATTTCTCAACGTGGGACATGCGTCACGGACATTCGCCAGAGAAGCGGAAAGGGGTACCAATATGGCGGCAAGGGTGGAGAAAGAAACCCAAGAGAGGTCGACCGATCGATACAAATGAGATTCCCAAAAACGAGGCCTCTTCTAACCTTCTGAATCATTAAACAAAAATGGCAATTTTATAAGGAATATCCGTTTAACACGTTGAGCGCGGAACCGATTTTGCTGAGCTTTCCGTTTGGGCGGCACAATTTTTTATATATAGGATTCTTGATGCCGTGTCAGTCCCAAGGGACCAACGCCGCCCAGACAGAAAGTTCACTGTCGGTCCCCAGGGACCGACGCCGCACTCAACGTGTTAAAAGAGAAGCAGGAGAATCCAAAATGGCGGCGAGGGCGGGGAAGAAGGAAACCAGGAGAGTCCGATGTCCCCTTTCTCTCGAGCCCTCCAAAGACGAGGGAACCCCCCTTCCCCCTTCTTCCTTAAACAAAGCGAGCATTTTTAAAGAATATTTATTCACCGGGAGTATTGTTCCGCGGTGAAAATCGAGAAAACAAGCGGGTCGTTCCGGCCATGGCCACCCTCGCGGCTCTGCTCGACCCCTGCAGGTCGCCCACAGAGGGGAGGAAACGAGT